AACAGACTTATTCGGAAAGGATATAGTTACGATACTGTTGTCAAGTCATTAAGGATTGCATATTTTGGTATTAATATTGATTCACTCATAGGGTCTTTGCATCGAAAATAAACACATTTATTCTAAAACCAGTTGTTGGCATGATACGGGTTATGTTCTTCTTGTATTTTTTATGATGATATGATACTTAACCCCTAACAGGAGGGATTGTACTTGATTTTCATATGATGAAGACATAATCTTTCAATCAGTTTAACCCTTACCATGCTGAGCCCGTCATATGACGGGATGACCCAGACCACCGTTATTTGGCTCTAATGGCTCTCCATACTTTTAGAGGTCAACTTTATGATACTTATTTCGAAATGGATGCATGTTCCCTCAACCTGAGGCTATCTATTGTCATGTTTCTCATGTTTAAGTAGCATTTTGAGCTCAAATACGAACTTGGAAAATTGAAATTGGATAAAACTGGTTTTTCTGGAGGGGTGGGCTTCCCTTCTGTGTCTTACACAGGAAGTTCAGAGGCCTAAAACTTTCAAAAATAGTGTAAACCCGCAGACATATATCTACTGATCATAATTATTTTTGAAATACGCAGAGGAAACGACTACTTCCGGTTTCAGGTCCAGTTGAAGTCCAAAATCGGAAGAAATCGTGAAATTCCGTATTTTTTGTCCAAATGACCTTCTTTAGACTGGTGTTCCCAGATCAGTTTCACTCCAACCTAAGAACTGTTGGGGTTAATGTGTTTACTTGGGTCCACTGTACATGCAGACTACAGATGGATACCTATATCAGCATCCCTCGGTCTTTGGGGTCAAGTAATAGGACGAAAAATCGTCAAAAATGACGCTTTTTGCACCTGATGACCAACTTTGGGGCAAACCCGCCACATTTTTGCGCCTGTCCCAAGTCAGGAACCTCTGGCCTTTGTTAGTCTAGTATGTTTTTTAATTTTAGTTCATTTATATGTTTTGGAGTTTAGTGTGACGTCCGTTTTCACTGAACTAGCACACAATTTTAGTTAGGGGGCAGCTGAGGACCACCTTCCGGGTGCTTGATTTTCTCGCTGCATTGAAGACCCATTGGTGGCCTTCGGCTGTTGTCTGCTCTTTGGTCGGGTTGTTGTCTCTTTGACATATTCCCCATTTCAATTCTCAATTTTATTGATTACAAGGATGCAGGCATATAATCTACAGAACTTTCCCTGAATTTTATACTATTTCAAAAAATGTTTTCATAATTTTGTTATTCCTTTTAAGTGTAATACCACCAAATCATAGTACATCACATCCGGTTGCATACGAAAATAGGTTGAAAAAAATTACTGTAAATTCAGAAATTATTGCGATGTTTTTATTATTGCGAAAAATGCGACAGGGTTATAATCGCAATAATTTAAACTCGCATTTTGAATTTTTTTATATGAATTAAACAGGATTTTTCTCAATATCGCAAAAATTAAAGTCGCATTTTAGTCTAAAATGACAAAATCGCAATAATAAAGGCACGCAATAATTTCTGAAATTACAGTATTCCCTTGAATTTGACAGTTGTAGGTAATTGATCCTACCTTTCATTGCAGTAAAACATTTCTGGGTCATAAACATATATCTTGGATATTTCAAAGCACCATTATTTTTTTATTTGGGGTTTCTATAGAATATTTTGGAAACTTGAGGTTACATGGTTACTAAAGCTTGTACACAGGTTAGAAAAGGGGGAAAATTTGATTGGTTAACTTCCAGTGATGGTTATTTTCTTATATGCAATGAAATGTTATGTGAAATTTTTTCTATAGTACTGGACAGGATAAAGCTTTACTCATGCCAAATATTTCTTTATTTGAAACAAAGATAAATTCTACACAATTTTTTGAAAAGTGCAAATTTAACAAAGACTAATAGGGGAAAATCAATGGTGGTATTACACCTAATATGGGAAGCTGTACATGCACAATTGACCTTGTGAGTACTCTCATGTGTTAAAATTTCTTGCTATTTAAGTGAAATATTACAAATAATGAAATATTCTGAGTGGATTGAGTCTCCAAAACACATTTTATGAGAAAATTTCCTTGAAATAGGACTTATTTACCATGAATATTAGTTGACAGAACAAGCCATACTTAAAGTTTTGGGGAGCTTTTTCTCCTTATTTCATATTTTCTGCTATACTAGAAATTTTTTCCTAAGAAATACTTTAATAAATATATAGTTTTAAGTAAAGGAAATTATTTTTAATGCAGTAACAACAAATTATTCACCAAAAGAGAAGCTTTTTATGTCCCTCTCTGGAACGCGGCGTAAATTTTAAGTTTTACGTAAGGACTTATTGAAACCTCCTTGGAGAGAGTAAACTTTTATACGGATAGTTCATTCAGCTTGAATACTTCAATTAATCATTTATTATAACATTTCTATCATAAATGAGTGAAAGTTACCCCAAAATTTTTATTTATTGGCCTAAAAAGTAGAAATTTTGAGGATATGAGAGGTATAAATGGACCAAAAGAGACCTTATAAGGAAGACAAAGAGGTCCATTAGTAGTATTTATCATCCTAAAGTCATCTTTTGTATCATATTCAACTGCATGTAGGCAGATGAGATAAATATTTGATCATTTATTGGTCCACACTATATTCTATCATGATGCGGCTTGGTTTGGATTTTTCAAAGAAATTTTGCTCGAATCGCTGTAGATGTTGTCTTACGTTATACTAGATTTTTCTCAAACTAATACTCTGATTATGACAAAACTTGACAGGAATGCTTGAAATAACTAGTATTACAAAGGAAAAAAGTCACATTCTGTTTATTTAACAAAAAAGTCTTCTTTAGGTGTAATACCACCAAATCATAGTACGTCACATCCGGTTGCATACGAAAATAGGTCGAAAAAAAATATTCCCTTGAATTTGACAGTTGTAGGTAATTGATCCTACATTTCATTGCAGTAAAACATTTCTGGGTCATAAAGTTTAACATATATCTTGGGTATTTCAAAGCACCATTATTTTTTTTTTATTTGGGGTTTCTATAGAATATTTTGAAAACTTGAGGTTACATGGTTACTATAAAAGCTTGAACACAGGTTAAAAAAGGGGGAAAATTTGATTGGTTGACTTCCAGTGATGGTTATTTTCTTATATGCAATGAAATGTTATGTGAAATTTTTTCTATTATAAGTATTGGACAGGATAAAACTTTACTCATGCCAAGTATTTCTTTATTTGAAACAAAGATAAATTCTGCACAATTTTTTGAAAAGTGCAAATTTAACAAAGACTAATAGGGGAAAATCAATGGTGGTATTACACCTAATAATTATTGCATGTTTATACATGTAGTTCGATTTGAAATTATGAACTCTGTTATTTCCTTTGAAATTAATTAGTTTGTCTAACTATCTTGTGACTGTGTTGATAATTCAATGTCATGTTCATCTAGATATATACAAAACATTTGATGGAGTATATTAATTTTATTTTGAAATATATTAATTTTAGTTTGTCACATGTCTATTTGTCCTCTGGCTCTAGTTCAACTGTCTTCCTTGGAAGTTGGAAGTGACAAGGAAGGCCGATTGATCCTATGACCCTTCACACTTCAAACATTACATGCTAAAAATCACGAATTTGAGATCTGGATATTAAATCTTTTACCTTTTGCATTCCGGTTATAAGGTTTTGCGTCAAGATCGTATGGATTGCGGATTTTCCTTGCATAGCTGGCAAGCGTATTTATGACGGTGATCGCCAAACATGTGCACGTTTTTCTCCCCTAGACTTTAGAACCCCTGCATGATTTACACCAACAGGCCACACTGACCACAATTAATTTCTCCTATTAGTTCTTTTAATATAACGTTTTGTTTCATTAAAAACATTGCACCATGTCTTTTTGTCAAATCTTTTGTGTGTTTAATGTACAGTACATAGTCCAAAAATATATCCAACATTCAGAAAGATTGCACAAATACATCTTACAAATTATGCTAATACACATTCATATCCTATGGTCAAGTCAAGAGATGCAGAAAGCTGTAGACATTACCTTTTTGCACCTGGCCTAATCACTCGTTCCATATCAAAATCAGTTAAAATACAACATCCAAAAATTTATTTCAGCTCTCTTCTTTCATTTCCACCCCATAATAAAAACTAAGAAATGAATGAGAAAGGGAAAGAAAAATAATAAAGAAAAAATACACTTTAATTAAAGGGAACTATATTCGTGGACAGCGAAAAGCAGGATCATTAATTGTGGTCTTGGGCCAACAACAACGATCTCGCTTTGAGACTTTGATTGAAATAAAAGAAAGCAAACGGTTACATCGATTGTTTGATCTGTATGAAAAAGGAAGTTTCTGTAATTTAATTTTACTTGCCCACGGACAACAAAGGTTTGAATTTCCACTTACCTATGACCTAAATCAACTTAATTAATTGCCACGGGTGACGGGATTAGGAATTCTATGAATAGTGATCATCGATTATCATTATTATTGATCATGTTGATAAAAGTAAAAAATATTTATAAAACTGAAACCATTTGCTACCTCTGTAAAGGTAAATGGAATGCCTTAAAACAGTAACACCCATAAAATATCCATTTTGTACATCTTTTACAGAAACTCAAACTTTGTACTGTAATTCTCTACAAATATGCAATAATGTGAATCTTATAGTACTAAAGTAGAATTATAACCAAACATATTATACCTAAACATAATATGTTTGGGTATAATTCTTCTTCATGTCTTTAATACTAAATGAAATGCACAAGAATAACAAAAGGAAAATGTTTCTAAATTTCCATTGTTTTGATATGAATTACAAACATAGTAATATTTCGAATTGAATATGAATTTTCAGCAGATTCCAAACAAAAAAACTAGAAATCACCTTAGTCTAGAACAAATAATTTTCAGACTTTGGAAAGGAAAATTTACATTTTTAACGGGATTAGTAAGTGATCAATTTCTTTATTTCAGATTATTATAGCTGCAACAGTATTTGGTCAGGTGTACAAATTTTAGAGGAATAGTGAGTGGAAATCAAATGAACTATGAAGAAAAATTTTGTGAGTTAATATTTGTTTACAAATACTTTTGTTCAGACTTCAGCTTTGAGAAAAAGATTTTTGTAATTATACAACTATTATGGGATATGTTGAATGTTATACATTTGATTTTATGCATCAATATAAAATAAGTAACATGATTGCCAATGAGACAACTTTCCAACAGAGTCAAAATGAAGCAAATTAAAGCAACTATAGGTCACTGTACAGCCTTCAACAATGAACATGACCCATATTATAAATTCGCTTTAAAAGTCCCTATCATGACAAAGTAAAACAAATGGCAAATTTTGTAATAAAACAACAATAAATGCAAACCAAATAAGACATCAATATCAAGTTGAGATTATCTTGATTATTGAAAACATAAGAATCGTCCACCTTTCAATGAAAGATGGATAATCAATCTGACATCAGATGTAATCACACAACACTTACCATTACAATACACAAAAGAGAAAGTTAAAAGATTAAAGGAATTGAAAACTTTGATAATTTTCAACTGGTAAACAAAAATGAACCAGTAAGTTTTTCTACAAACTTTTTTCCTTACATCAAATAGACAAAACATCATAAATTACTTAAAATTAACAGCCCTCATTCATGTTGAAGAAAAAAGCTCAAAGTCTATGTTAGTCTTGTTCAAGTATAAGTTCTGAATTTTCAGTTGTTTAGTTTAATTGTCACCACCCAAATAAATCTGTCTGTATTTAAGGATATATTTTTAAATGGTTCTTTGCTTTGTCCCCAGTGCAATGCGTTATGGGGGTCCTTCCGGTCTTGTTAGCGCTGTCACATCTGCAATTCTTGTCAGATTTTTATCCGGAATTCTGAAGGAAAAATCAGTTATTGATTTTGGGAAGTACGGCGGGCGGGCGGCTGCCAAACAGTGTCCTGAATTTACTCATAAACCGTTCAACCAAAGCTTTTCAAATTTTAGTGTGTTGTTACTGATGACAAAATGGAGGTCAAGTTCGATATTGACGATTTTCACTTTCACCGTTCAGGAGTTATTGTTCTTGAAAGATTAAAAAATGGTGTTTCCAGTCGTGTCCGTGCTTTAACTCATGGACCGTTCAACCAAAGCTTTTAAAATTTTAATATGTTATTACTGATGACAAAACGGAGGTCAAGGTTAATATTGATGATTGTCACTTTTACTGTTCAGGAGTTACGGTCCTTGTGATATTGAAAAATGCCACGACACAAATTAATGTTAAAAAATCCAGTTTGCTGTCACTCTGACAGCCTCTTGTTATATAACTTATATCATAGGTTTATATCAGCAATGTCACTTTACAAGTTCGAATATCAGTGCTGGTTAACTCCATTTTAAAGAGTTATGCTCCTTGGAAATATAAATTATATGGAGAGTGTTGGCGCTCTCATCATCATGTACAATTATTGCCAGATTTTTATGAAACTTGTATCATAGGTTTATAATTATATCAGCAATTTGTTGGACAAATTTGAAAATCAGTTTTGATCAATTGCTCTTAAAAGAGTTATGCCTCTTTGAAATACTAATTATATGGAAAATTGAATTGCTAGCGCTATCATGTGTACAATTTTTGCCAGATTTTTAGAAATTTGTATCGTAGGTTTATATCAGCAATGTGTTGGACACGTTCCAAAATCAGTGCTTATAAAATATTTTTTAAAAGAATTATGCCCCACAGAGGTATTATAATTATATCGGAAATTACATTGTATTAAATTTGCTCTCATGCGTTGATTTGTCTGAAGATATTTATAAAAAGTTTTATAGAACAAAGTTTTTATTTTTTTTTAATCAGGAAAATGCGTTCCTTTATTAAAATAATATTTATTTTTATATAAGGAAATCCCAAGACTGGTGAAAATGGATAAGAAGGATTTCCAGAAGTTTGAGGAAGATGAAAGATCTGGTGATATTGACCAATACTTTACCAAGATGCAGCTTGCTAATCTCTCTGCTTATGAGACGCTTCGATACAGAAATATGAAGAAAAATTATGAAATGATGGTTAAAATGGGTAATAAGACAAAAACAAACAAACAAACATGTACACGCTTTTCACCACTTTTCACACAATTACACGCTTTTTTGTTGTTTTGATTTTTTGGTCGTTAGTGATATATTCTCTGGTTTTTTCATTATTAGACGATAAACTGTTGGATCAGTTCTCATAGTACCAGCTGTTTTCTGATGAACTACCTAGTTTTGACCAGGCAAAAGCAACATATATAGTTTGTTCAATGGGAGCAATGGCAGAGATAATAGATGAAATTTTAGATGGCAAAAAAACGTTATGACACTCTTTCAAAGCTTGATAAAGCTATTTTAGTTCAGCCAATATCAATTCTGACTGTGAGAGAACATTTTCTTTTCAATTATAAAGAAATTCACACTGAATTCTGATCAGAACTTGACAATGATATATTGTGTGCCTTGTTATCAAGTAAATGTAACCAAACTGGCAGTTGTTTTGAATTTGTACCTAGTGGTGTTGCTTTTTAAAAAGCAGCAAAACAGACTACTGTTGAATACAATAAAAGTTTATAGTAGAATATTGTTTTTTTTATTAACAAATTTGTATAATGTGAAATTATGAACATTGTTCATATTAAAAAGTCCGCATCTACGTCGCGCATTTTCACAAGTTTTTTGACATGATTTCTCATTGTTAGAGGTTGGCAAGTATGCATGCATGGAAACAATAATTGCAGTATATGAAATTTGAAATATGGTATTTTTTATAATCGAAATTTTCAGAGTAGGTTAGACTATAAAAATATAACAGACACTGGAAACAGGACAACAACACATGTACATCGACCTGTTGTTACACTGACATATTGTGTGTTCTTGTTGAGCTCTGCATCAATAATTGAACATATACTAATGACAACCATATCAGAGTTGAATGGATCCTTAAATTATTATTATCTTTATTAAAGAATTGTCAGTCACAACAACTATCTATATTTATGCGTTAATTGCATAATATGTGATTCTGTTTTCACCTGCTTCTTGTTTTTTTTATGGGGGTTGAAAAGAAATCAAGCAACATCCATTTTCTTCTTGCTTGTTTATTTGTCATCTTGGATCAACAGGTGTTTTCTCTCTGTGACAAAAGAACGCTCAACTAAGATATAGAATTATCCTTTTTCAAAGTGCACGAATGATCGCATTAAAAATCATTTAGGATGTCTTGTTCCTTATCCATCTTCGTATTAAGGTTGTCAAGAATCAAAAAATATATTATAACGCTGACCTTGATGAGAACACCTAAACAAGCGCAAGCAAGACAAAAGTCAGTTTCAATCAATAACAATTTGTTTTACGCAATAATAGCACAGTTTTATTTATTTGATTTTTATTTGGAAACACAATTTGAAGCGATGATTTCCCTAATTTGAAACGGGGAAAATTGGCCAGGTGCTGGAGCTTATTGAAAACCCTGGTATTGGAAATTTAAAGAAATACACTGAGATGATAAATAGGGAATATCATATGGCTTTTTCAATATCACATCCATATCAACCCGAGACACCAATATAATCCCAAGAGCTCTGCTCGAGGGATTATATTGGTTGAGGGTTGATACAGTGTGTGATATTGAAAAAGCCATATCATATACACTTTATTATATACATATACTTCACGTAGATGTTTTTTATGAAACATGACGTCATACAGGTAAGGAGGTTTGAAATGACGTCATACAGATTATAGGTTTGACATGACGTCATACAGATTAGGGGTTTGATAAAGCCTTTGCAACAGTGACTGCAATCGATGACGTGACGTCATACAGATTAAAGGTGTGATAAAGCCTTTGCAACCGTGCTGATATCGATATCATCACGGGTGGCTGATACAGCACGCTTGCCAATGATTGTATTACACATACAATTTATCTGTATTTACTACTAAGTATATAATAAAGATAACTAATATCAGGCTATATAATATCATAGCCTGGTGTAAAATTGTGACAAACTGTAGAAATCTCTATATATATGTACACTATATTTAGCCCCATGGTATTATGGTTAATAAAAATGATAGATTTGAATAATTTCAGCAATTCAACCTTATTCTATGGTAAAGCATTCTAATGCAACATTGTTTGTAACGTTCATTTTGATTGTATAACGTCACCTATGTTCATGGCATCAATTCAAAATTGATGCTATGAAAACGTACGGGGAAGCGCAGACAAAGTTTGACAGATTGTAAATGTATGATTTAACGTTGTTTTCTGTCAGTTTCATTAGAATGGAGATAACAATATTGTATTTTAAGCTCTGACGGTATCAATTGGTGCATCGCCAGTAAACTTAATTTCGACCATCAAATCACCAATTGATGCCGTCGGAGCTTAAAATACAATACAGTTATCTCCTAAATATCAAACTACCTTCAATAGCTTCATGGCGTAAATATACAAACATAACAGAGCTATGTTCGTATTATTGAAGCAGGGATTCCATTGTAACAGAAGAGTAATCTGAAAACTTTCTCAAAGATATTTTATTTTCAGGTCTACCAGCACAGAAACCTGAATTCATGAAAGCACTGAAGCAGAAACAGATTGTAAAGAATACTAATGAGTCGGGTTTTAATGAAATTAGAAAACGTAGTGCAGAAAAAGTTAAAAGAAATCAAGGTTTTTTATACTTATCTTTAAATTAATTCAACTAATTAGTCAAAATGTTAAAATAAATTATCATTGGCTGAAAAACATACTAGACAATTATTTTATGCCCCACCTACGATAGTAGAGGGGCATTATGTTTTTCGTTCTGTGCGTCCGTTTGTTCATCCGTCCGTTCGTCCCTCTGCCTGTCTGTCCTGCTTCAGGCTAAAGTTTTTGGTCAAGGTAGTTTTTAATGAAGTTGAAATCCAATCAACTTGAAACTTAGTACACATGTTCCCTATGATATGATCTTTCTAATTTTAATGCCAAATTAGAGTTTTGACCCTATTTCACATATTTTCACTGAACATAGAAAATGATGGTGCGAGTGGGACATCTGTGTACTATGGACACATTCTTGTTTAAGCTCTCAGGTAATTGGTCATAGAGTTGCAACCTTTGTTTAGTGCATTATATAATTGCATAAGGGCTATTTCATTAAAATGTATGTGGGAGGGTAGGAAGGGAAGTTTAATTATTAAATGTGGGTCATGGGTCTTTTTTCAGTAGGCATCTATTACCATTATGCAAAATTATCTAAAAAATGGTTCTTGGTTGAAGGGATATTTTGAGTCCCTTCCTACCCTCCCACATACATTTTAATGGAATAGCCCTAATGTAATTAACACTGATTTAGAAATAAAGAGCTTTTAAAAAAGATATATAAGAATTGACACTTTAAATAGGACCAGAAAGGGCAATATTAAAAAAAAAACTTTAAGAAAATGTGACTATAAGAGTTTTAGTAAATATAGACACAAGATTTATGCCAGCTGCTACAAGAAATGTTCTTTTGTATGAAAAATATGATCTAAATAAAATATTTTTTTTTTACCTGTATATGTATGTTTGTTTATTGATAAGAAAATACTGAAATTATTGTGAAAAATACTTCTTTGTCTATACAAATTCCTTGGTGTAGATAAATTTCGTTTTCCAAAATTACCGAAAATATTAGAAGTTTGACTATTAAGAGAAATGCGTTAGGCCAAACACACGAAAAATATGTGTTAAGTGTTCAATTTTAAAGAAAAATGTGGAAGGTAGGGATGCATTCTTTTTTTCACCGGATTTCAGAAGGAAAAATCTGTTATTGATTTGGGAATGTATGCGGGGCGGCTGCCAAACAGTGTCCGTGCATTTACTCATGAACGGTTCAACCAAAGGTTTTCAAATTTTAATAAGTTGTTACTGATGACAAAATGGAGGTCAAGTTTAATATTTACGATTTCTCACTTTCACTGTTCAGGAGTTATGGTTCTTGACAGATTGAAAAATGGTCTTTCCAGTCGTGTCCGTGCATTAACTCATGAACCGTTCAACCAAAGCTTTTCTAATTTTAATATGTTGTTACTGATGACTGAATGGAGGTCAAGTTCAATATTGATGATTTTCACTGTTACCGTTCAGGAGTTATGGTCCTTGTGATATTTAAAAATGACAGGACACAAATTATTGTTAAAAATTCCGTTTGCTGTTGCTCTGACAGCCTCTTGTTTTTTTCTTTGTTAAGTTTTTTCATCATGAGTATATCATCATCCATAGGAGACTTGCAATTTTGTCCTGCAAAACTACCAATAGTGCCAAGTAAAACTGTAGGGAAGTTGTTCTGAGGCCTACACAAAATATGGAATACTTTTGATGACGTAAAAATAGGATAGATAGGAAAACCTGGCTAACCGCAAGTATTTTATTTTATTTTGGTCTAAGCATAGAGGTCCCTTGAAACTTTTTCTTTTTTGTACCATAGGCAAAATGTGATATATAAAAGAGTTTGTCATTAATTACCTGAAGTTCTATGGTTTAACCTGGACATTTTAATCTTCCCCCATAAAAAGAAGTGACTGCCAATCAAACAAACTTATTTGTTTAACAGGTCAAACAGACAGTAATTTATCTAAATCAAAATTAGAAACAAAGAAGAAGAAAAAAGTTACTCAAAGAATTGATTCTGATTCAGATGAGGAATGGAGACCCAGTTCAGAAAAACGGAAAAGAAATTCAGGTTCTTATTTACTTACTGTAGATTCAGAAATTGCTGCGATGTTTTCATAAATGCTAAAAATGTGACAATACCGTGTTTTGAAATACATGTTGTAATTAAAACTTCTTTAATAATTTTTTTGCAATTGCATTAAGAAGATTTCACTTTTTGCCAGAGGTCAAGGATTTGCAATATAAAATGCATGCATTAATTTCTGAATTAATGGTAATTGGTTTAATTAAATAGGGTGTATCATTTCATGTTTCTCTCATTTGGTTCAGTGTAGCTTTTAAAGAAAATTTGACAAAACTTTTGAAATGTTTTGAAAATCATGTGAAGTACCTGTTGCTACCAAACTCAAATTATATAAGGAAAAAACATTATCCTCATTGAATGAAATTTGTTGAAAAAAAACAGGGCAGATTTTTGTTGTCGTGCCTGCGACTTTTCAAGTTTTGTCGCAGAAAACTCGACATAGGGATAGTGATCCCGCGGCGGTGGCATTAAATAACTACTTAAAAGCATAATATTTCAGAAGGTAGAAGACCTGGATGCTTCATACTTTGTATATAGATGCCTTATGATATGAAGTTTTCGTCTGTTATATGTTCATTGTCCTTGACCTCATTTTCATGGTTCAGTGACTACTTGAAAAAAAAGTTAAGATTTTTTGTAATGTTAATTTCTCTCTTATTATGAGTAATTCATTTATATGTTTTTTCATGGATTCATTTATTTTCGTGGGTATCAATTTTCGTGGATAGAGGAAAAAAGAAGTTTCGTGGTATACGTAAATTCGTGGATCGCTGATTACAAAAAAAAAAAAAAAATCAGATACGTAATTCGTGGATTTCTTTTTGATTTAAGAGATCATATAACCTCCTTGGTTTGATCAATAACAAAAAAAAAAAAAAAAAAGAAGGAATTCATTGAAAAAGTTTTGAATATGTCAAAATCCTCGCTTGGTCATTCTAGGTTAAAGTGTACATTGAAAACTTCTATTACAATAATGGACAGAGACAACTAATTATTTGTTTGTTTTACAATTTATGAATTCTTGTCGGAATTTTATAAGGCGTTCAAAACTCTTAAGATTGAAAGCTCATTTCCGTAATCACGATATAATAATCAGTCATATAAGTAAAAGAAGTGAAAATAAATGTTCCTGTCATAAACAATATTACCTACGGGCAATATCCCCGTACTTCATCCTATAGATTTTTAATCACCAGTAAACCAAACTATGACACGGTAATTAACAACTTGCAGTTATTTTCCATGAACAGTTTTAATCAATTTTAAAAATTAATTTTTAACTGATATTCGATATATTTATTATTGATTTAATCAAAATACTTGTATTTTCTTTCAATAAAAACATGTGTTATGTTACAATGTTTATCGTTAGTCAACACTATACTAGAACTGCATAACATAATCCGAAATAAACATGCGCTTCCATACACATTTCTCGGGATTATTCTTCGTTGAATTCTTAAATTCGTGGTTTGCTGTGACCCACGAAAATTGGTATACCACGAATAAAAATGAATCTACAGTAACTATATTTGATATGTGCATTCTGTGCAAGGTCTTCATGTCTGTCAGACAGTTTTCACTTGACCTCGACCTTGTTTCGTGGATCAGTGAACAAGGTTAAGTTTTCATGATCAAGTCCATATCTCAGATACTATATGCAATAGGTCTACAATGTTTGGTGTATGTAATGATTGTAAGGTGTACATGTCCATTTGGCAGGTATCGTCTGACCTTGACCTCATTTTCATGGTTCAGTGGTAATTGTTTAGTTTTTGTGTTTTGGTCTGTTTTTCTAATACTAATAAAATTGAGAATGAAAATGGGGAATATGTCAAAGAGACAACAACCCAACCAAAGAGCACACAACAGCCAAAGGCCACCAATGGGTCTTCAATGCAGCAAGAAAATTCTGCACCTAGAGGTGGTCCTCACCCTAAATAAAATTGTGTACTAGTTCAGTGAAAATGGACGTCACCCTAAACTCCAAAACATATAAATGAACTAAAATTTAAAAACATACAAGACTGTAGGTCAACTATATTTGGTGTATGGAAATACTTTACGATGTACATGTAAGTCTTGCAAGTTTTAATTGACCTTGACCTTATTTTCACGGTTCATTGCTTAATTTTAAGTTTTTGTGTTTTGGTCTGTTTTTCTAATACTGTATGCAGTAGGTCAACTATATTTGGTGTATGGAAATATTTTACGATGTACATGTCAGTCTGACAGGTTTTATTTGACCTTGACCTCATTTTCACAGTTCATTGCTCAGTGTTAAGTTTTTGTGTTTTGATCTGTTTTTCTAATACTGTGCAGTAGGTCAACTATGTTTGGTATATGGAAATATTTTACTATGTACATGTCAGTCTGGCAGGTATTATTTGACCTTGACCTCATTTTCATGGTTTATTGCTTGTGTTAAGTTTTTGTGTTTTTGTCTGTTTTTCTTTAACTATAAGCAATAGGTCAACTATATTTGATGCATGGAATGATTTTAAAGTGTACATGTCTGTCTGGCAGGGTTCATCTGACCATGACTTCATTTTCATGGTTCATTAGTCAATATAGAATTTCCATGGTTTGGTCTGTTTCTTTTATACTATAAGCAATAGGTCATCTATATTCTGTGTATGGATTGATTGTATTAAAGGTGTACATGTATTTCTGCCATGGTTTATCTGACTTTGACCTCATTTTCTTGGATCATAAATGTTAATATGATACTTGTAGTAAAACTTTATATGTAGGACTATCAACATAAAATCAATGGTCAGTATAGTAGGCAAGACATTTCAGCGTGTGCACTCTTGTATTAATGAGCGGTATCTGTATGAAAACAAGGTAACATTATACAATTTACTAAAAAAAATCAAAGAAAATGAGAAGAGAATATCGTAACTTTTTTTCAGCATTTGAAGTACCAAAGAAAAGGATAAGAAAAGAAAAGAAGGAACAAAATAGCTTAAATTCTGAAGTAAGTGGCAAGTCTGAGTTTGTTACTTCTTTTACTTTTTCTAAGAATTTATTGAAAACTTTATTCTCTGTATTTCTCTGTATTCTAGTCAACTGAAGAAGCTTATGGAATAGATATTGGTCTTGTTGGTTTTTGTCATATCTTAAGTTGTTGGGTTGCTGTCTTGTTTACATGGACCACATATTCATTATATAAATTATACTTGTTGAAAACTAATTCAAGTCATGTTTTTCATTACAAATTATTTCTCTTCAAAACTGCTGTTTTTTCCACTAGGTTAATGTCAAAAAAAATATTTCAAAATCTCTAGTTATAAGGATACAAATTGGTGCTAATAAACATTCAAATCAGCAAACTTTTAGTAAGAGGGTTGCAGAATATCTCGGTTTTGCAGTGCAAAATTAAAATCTGGGCTATACTAGGAGCATTTTGGATATTTAATATTAAAATTTAGGGGCCCAGACACAAAACTAGTCGCCAAACCAATGGTTGACGGCTAAATATAGGCCTTTAAAAAGAGAATAGTGGCACATGATTATAACGGAAGATTTAAAAAATTTTATGCAAATTTCAGGATCATTAAAATTAAATGGCATGTAAATGTCAACTATACAATCATGAAGTAATAAATGTTCTGTCATTGAAACAAATTTTTGAACATTCGTAATTGTTCTCTTCAGGATGAAAATGTCAGGGGAGTTTCTGTTGAAAGAGAAGAGACTGGGCAATCAGGAAGACATAGATATCCACAGAGAAAAATTCCTTTAACTAATTATATGTATTTAGAAGTACCAGATGATGATGAATTTATTTGTAAGTTGATTCAATTTTTCATCTTTTGCATGTTCAATGGTGCGCCACCTTGTGAAATTTTTAAATCATAGTCGAACTAATGAAGCTAATGGTTATGTTCATCGATAAATTATTTATTTTGAATCATGTCTGTATTAATACTCATTAAAAGCATGTTTCATGGATTGTATTTGACATGAAAAAAATCCAAATAAGCAAAAACTAAACATGCTGTTTGGTTATGGCATGAACTGGTTGTCAAAGCACTTGATATATGCCAGAACTGCTCATAAGATGCTCAAAACAAATTAAATGATAATCTTTCTTGTTACAGATTGTGAAGATTGTGAAAGAGAATACGAAGGAGACTGTCTTGTTCACCCCTGTATAAACATATTTGATTCTCAGGTATGACTGTCAGGATTACATAATTATAGTCGAACCTTGTTGTGTCGAAAACTCGGATGAGTCAAAGTAATTTCTCGGTACCGGTAAAATTTACGTTTAAGCAATGCATATTTACCTCTGATGAGTTGAACTGGGTTGATTCGAATACTCGGTTAAGTCGAGTAAATTTCATGGTCCCGATGATGTAAAATTAATGTAAATTGACCCCGATGTCTCGAAGTTCCAAATGATAAAAAATTCAAATCGGATGTATTTTTATATGCCCGTCAAATTTTTGACGGGACGTATTATGGTATACAAATGTCCGGCGTTTGTCCGTCTGTCTGTCCGTCTGTCTGTTCGGCTTAAACATGTCGCACTGTAACTTGAGAATGACTTATCCAAATTTCATGAAACTTAACATAGTTGTTTCTTATGATGGTCAAACGATCTGTATACTTTTTGGTGAAAATCAGATTAAACAGGACTTAGTAACTAAAACAGGTGTGTGTTTTTTTTCACATGTCACGCCGTATCTCAAAAACAATTTATGATTATTGCTTTAAACTTTACACACTTCTTAGTTATATTAATCTTAAGATCTGTATACTTTTTGGTGATGATTCAAAATTTTATTTTTGAGTTATTGAGTATTTTGTAAAAAAGGGGGGGGGGGGGGGTTTTCACATGTCGCGCCGTATCTCAAAAACGATTTATGATTATTGCTTAAAATTTTACACACTTCTTAGTTATATTAATCTAAAGATCTGTATACTTTTTGGTTTTGATTCAATTTTATTTTTGAGATATTGAGTTTTTTGTAAAAAAAAAAAGGGGGGTTTTCGCATGTCACGCCGTATGTCAGAAACTATTTATGCTTATTGCATAAAAATTCACAGACAAGACGACGGGCGTATCATGCGCTCATGGCGCAGCTGTTTATTTATATTACTTAATCATTTCAAAAAGAGATTAAAGCTGTGTAAACAAACTTGTTTGTATAACAGTTAAAATGACATGTTTACGGTGACAGGTAATTAACACCTTTGTTGATCGTCCAAGCAGAACTTTAGTGTGTTGAACATATTTCACCTGACATAAAAAACGAAATGAATTTAAATGACCAAGCAGAGATTAAAGATTCTTTAAAATTCAAATTCATTAATTACAACAAATAAAACGATAAACACAATTATGATAAATTTATAATAATTGAATGCAAAGCAGACTACCCTCATCAGAGATTTTCAGAACTTGTGTTGGTCCGTGAGTGATTTCATCATTTATAGTGACTGACCTTTGTAAATATTTGTGTTTGTGTATTGATTTTATTATACCCCCGCTTTAAAAAAGTGGGAGTATACTGTTTTACCTCTGTCTGTCCATCTATCCATCCGTCAGTCTGTCAATCCGTCCCATGAATATTTTTAGTCGCATCATTCTCAGGAACTACATTACAAGGATTTCTGAAATTTGGTTCAGGGTTTATATAAGTCAGCTACAAGGTGTGATGCGTTTTCAGATTCATCACTCAACAACTTCCTTTTTACCGAACACTTACATCATTTTACACATGACATCCAAATTGAGAATTCTTGTCACATTTTTCTCAGGAACTACATTACAAGGATTTCTGAAATTTGGTTTCAGGTTTTATATAAGTCAGCTACACCGTGTGATGCGTTTTCAGATTCACCAGTCAACAACTTCCTGTTTACCGTCAAGTATTTGGGCTGGGGGTATCATCAGTGAGCAGTAGCTCACAGTTTCACTTGTTTGTCAATGTTTTGCATCTATACTTGTTGTTTAATTATTATGACGGACCAACAAATATGGAGTTTGAATACATAATCATAAAGTGTCATATCGAAAAAAGGCACACCGTCCAAAATATCAAGTTTACACAAATCCCAAAACCGACAAACCGTATTTTATGCATTCAAAATTTATGACGACAAACTCAACTGCGGATGAGTCAAACCTCGGATGACTCGAATACTTTTGTCTGGTCCCTTTGACTTCGACATAACGAGGTTCGACTGTAGCTATTTGATATATAGTTGATCATTTGCCAATAAGAATTGATTGACCCCAGACTCGGTCAATACATATGTGAACTGGACTAGGTGAAGACATCATAGAATGTAGCTTATATTGACATGGTTTTTTTGTTTGTTTTATTTTAAGAAAAAAAAATTATCTGAATCTCATAACAATGACTTTTCTCATTTATTCTTAAGTGATTTTCATTATATGTTTCATTGAAATTATTTGTAGACCACCACAAAGAATGAAAGAAGAGCAATCAACACTTTACCTGATGGATTGTCTGTTAAAGAGTCGAGAATACCTAATGCAGGACTAGGTGTCTTTGCAGATAAAACTTTTCCAAGCAGAAGCAAATTTGGGCCATATCAAGGGGAGATAACTAAGGATGCTGAAACGGCTCATTATACTGGATATGCTTGGCAGGTTATTGTTTATTTATTATGAAAATTATTAAGTGATAGAATTGTTTTGATTGTTAGAAATTTTTAGAATAAAAAAAGAGAAATGTAAACGAAGGAAAAGTCACATTTAAATAGCAAATACCCAGATAATTGAAGTTTTTCAACACTGAATACTGTGATAGTAATACTACATTTACATTAGGGATTTAATTAATACAAAATCTGATATATTTTGACAGGTCTCCCCATATACTCTGACATGGTAAAAAATAATATGCAAAATAATGGGAATGATGGGACTTAGAATAAAGTATTAAATAAACTCATCATTGATAATTTCCATAAAATACAACTGTTTTGAAAGCCATTTTGGAGAATCAGTTTTCCCTGAGGAGGGCCAGGTCAATATTCCATGTCTAAAAAAACCAATTTGGTCATTTGCCGACGGAGGTTCAAATAACATAACACAACCTAATTCCTTTCAGACATAAAAAAATTGAAAGAGTTTTAAAAGTGTTAGTAATTGCTCCTTGTTGATATTTGGCTAATTATTATAGATGCTGTAAAGATACACCTGGCATTTTGAAGCCTCTAGTTAATAATGAATTATCATATTCTAGATATATCTTATTGCAGATTGTTCTCTCTTTATAGATAAAGTTTTGTTTTTTTGTTTTAGATATATTTAGATGGGGCTCCAAATTATTTTATAGATGCTTTAGACAAGTCGAAATCTAACTGGATGAGATATGTGAATTGTGCAAGAAATGAAGATGAACAAAATTTGATTGCATATCAGTATAAAGGAGACATATATTACAGATGTTTTAAAGACATAGAACCAGGAAACGAATTACTAGTATGGTATGGCCAGGATTATGGAAAAGATCTCGGAATAGAACGAATGAATATAACATCTATACTGAAACCAAAATATATCAATGGAGAAGGTAGGTGTACTTGTTTTGTAACATGGTATGATATTTTATGACATGTCTTATTGAATCCTTTTATTTAAATGAAAGACAGTACTCCTGACAACTATTTTGATAAAGGAGCTAAGTTGATGTATTCACCTTTTAAAAGAAGGTATATGTAGTGGTATCATGCACACGAAACCACAAAAAGAAATGATAAATAAAGGTCTCCCCTGAAAATTTTGGTGGTTTAGATTAACATATAACATATCTTGCTTGATCATGTCTCCCCTTTGAAGAAAAAGACAGCATAGCTTGTTTTGTCTTGTCTTTCTCATACAGCCTTGTCCTGGCTAAAACTTTTTATCTTTTGACACTGGCTTATGATATTTGGCATGAAGCTGTATTATCACAAGACAATGTTTTACATATCATCATGACCTTCATGTGTCAAATAGGATGTGACATTGACCTTTGAACTCGAGGTCATATCAACAAATTAATTTTTAAGAAAAATGTATGGATTGGTAATGGGAGATTTGAAGACAAATTTAAAACCATTTTAAGTGTAGAATTATGTAAGGCTGTTTATTAATTGACCAGTTGTACTCTTTAGCATATTATATAGATATAAGAAGATGTGGTATGAGTGCCAATGAGATAACTCTCTATCCAAGTCACAATTTGTATAAAGTAAACCATTATAGGTCAAAGTAAAACCTTCAACACGGAGCCTTGGCTCACACCGAAGAGCAAGCTATAAAAGGCCCTCAAAATGACTAGTGTAGAACCATTTAAACAGGAAAACCAACGGTGTAATCTATATAAAAAACGATAAACACTTATGAACCACATCACCAAACGACAACCACTGAACAGCAGGTTTCTGACTTAGGACAGGTGCAAACAAATGCTGCATGTTTAAATGTTTAACAGGCGCCAATCTTCACCCTAACCTGAAATAATAATGCAACATCACAACATAGAAAGATACACTATAAAATATCAATTGAAATGGCTTACTCAATCAAAAGACATATTATCAAAAACAAGTAAACATACACTGAACGAATAAATTTGATCTATGACACAATGTAAATACAAAATTAATAAAAAAGGGTGTGAGATGTAAAACAAAATCAGGAAGACAACTATGACCTTGGACAAAATGCTGTTAAATAAAATAACGTACAAAGGTAAATCAAATAATTTTGTTGTAAGGAGTACATGGAGCACGGAAATATTTTTTACAAAATAAATAAATTATGGTTTCTATTGACCTGGCTACTCTTTTAAATATAGTGCCCAATTTTACGCCTGGTTTAAGTGGTATCATGGTATAAAATTTACGCCTGGTTTCTGTGTCATTTACAAGCATCACATTTCAAGTGAATGCATTATTTGTTAAACTTTATATCAATTGAAGAAATCCTCATTTCCTATAGGTTGTTGACCTTCATGGTGACAATGAGACTACATATGTTCCTATTAAACCTTGAAGAAATCACATTTTCATTTTCCAAAACAAGTGTTGTTCAAAACTTTGCAAGAGTAATGTATGGAGTGCCAATGTCAGTCAATTTATTGTGTTACCATTTTTTCCAAAATCTCAAAATATGTTCTATCCTGTCTACATGAACTTATATCTGCCTTCTGTAACCATTTAATATATGACCATATGATGTATCATATTATGCATCGTGTAAATCTTGCAAATTTCAATTTGTCCTGTTTTGAAAATATGTGAAGTTCATTATGTTTTTTTTTTTCAGCCATTTATAGGTGTCCATTGTGTACTGTTAGCTTCAGCCATGAAAGATATGTATCAAATCATCTGAAGTACCACCATAGTACAAAACTGGAATGGCTGCTAAATCCATTATCATCTAAAACAAACATCATAGTGCAATATCAATGTGGAATTTGTAGTATGTCATTTTGTGTTAGCAGTTTCGCTAAACAGCACCATAAAATTTGTCATGGAAAGGATATTATGGAAAACATAATTAGAATACACAAATTACAAAATGAAGATTCATCAAGTTCAGTTCATAGATCTAACATGCAGTTAACAGTTCGAGGTCAACAGTCAAAGGAACACATGAAAAGTCAAACTAAAGAAAAGCCTTGTAAATGTGGTAACTGTGCTAATGGATTTTGTAAGAGTCAGCTTTTACAGATACATTTGAGAAGATATACATGTGATAAACCTTATAAATTTGATGAATGTGGTAAAGGATTTAGTCAGAATGTGGACTTACAGAAACATATGAGAACACATTCTGGTGATAAACCTTATAAATTTGATGAATGTGGTAAAGGATTTAGTCAGAATGGGAACTTACAGAAACATATGAGAACACATTCTGGTGATAAACCTTATAAATTTGATGAATGTGGTAAAGGATTTAGTCAGAATGGGGACTTACAGAAACATATGAGAACACATTCTGTTGATGAACCTTATAAATGTGATGAATGTGGTAAAGGATTTAGTAGGAATGATAGTTTACAGACACATATGAGAACACATTCTTGTGATAAACCTTATAAATGTGATGAATGTGGTAAAGGATTTAGTCAGAGTCAGAACTTACAGAGACATATGAGAACACATTCTGGTGATAAACCTTATAAATGTGATGAATGTGGTAAAGGGTTTAGTGTAAATCAGAATTTACAGACACATATGAGAACACATTCTGGTGATAAACCTTATAAATGTGATGAATGTGGTAAAGGGTTTAGTGTAAATCAGAATTTACAGACACATATGAGAACACATTCTGGTAATAAACCTTATAAATGTGATGAATGTGGTAAAGGGTTTAGTGTAAATCAGAATTTACAGACACATATGAGAACACATTCTGGTAATAAACCTTATAAATGTGATGAATGTGGTAAAGGATTTAGTAGGAATGATAATTTACAGACACATATGAGAACACATTCTGGTGATAAACCTTATAAATGTGATGAATGTGGTAAAGGGTTTAGTGAAAGTGGTAACTTACAGAAACATATGAGAACACATTCTGTTGATAAACCTTATAAATGTGATGAATGTGGTAAAGGGTTTAGTCAGAGTCATTGCTTACAGACACATATGAGAACACATACTGGTGATAAACCTTATAAATGTGATGAATGTGGTAAAGGGTTTAGTGAAAGTGGTAACTTACAGAAACATATGAGAACACATTCTGGTGATAAACCTTAAAAATGTGATGAATGCAGGGTCCGACACTTACGGTTGTCCGATTGCCCGGGGCAAGCTAATGCCGTATTCGGACAAGTAAAAACATCATCTTGGTTGTCCGATCGGGCAAGTGAAAAAAAAAGTGTTATATGATTAAAATTTTACAAAACCAATAGTGTCTGTTGTTTTGTCCATAGATTACTCAGTGATAACACCGCACGGTCGAGTAAAGTGGTCTTAACCCCCCTTCAATGCGTATATTTCGTCAATTGTTCGCACTGAATTCCCCATTTTACCAAAAATAGATCACGTTTAAAAATATTGGCCAATCAGGCGGCCGCGGCGTTGCTTCGTCATTATCGTTATCCATCGGGACACCACTCGGGCGTTTCCGACGCACGTGTTATTCCCACCGACCAATGGAAAGCGGAGGTCTATTATCGTTGTTCTAACTTTATAATTTGACATCGGATGTGTATTTCCCTAAGATGGAAAAACGTAAAAGCTTGAAAGAGAAAATGAAATTAAACTTTAACAAATTTGTCAGTTGTTGTCAGTTTATCAAGAAGGATTTTTTGAAATGGCATTTCTTAGATAAATTATTATGAAATAAGTATCTCTATGTAAATGATCCAATAGTATATTTTCATACTCCATAATCAATTTACACCCCATATACATGATAACTATATTTTATCTGCATGTACTACATTACAACCACAAAAATAGCATGTAAAAGTTTGGGCATGTAGATTTCACTTTCGGACAAGTAAAAGTAATAGGGCACTTACCCAACTGGACAAGTTGGTATAAAAGTTAATGTCGAACCCTGGAATGTGGTAAAAGATTTAGTGACAGTAGTAACTTACAGAAACATATGAGAACACATTCTGGTGATAAACCTTATAAATGTGATGAATGTGGTAAAGGGTTTAGTCATAGTCAGCACTTGCGCTCACATATGAGAACACATACCAGTGAAAAACCTTACAAATGTGGTAAAGGTTTTAGACAGTTTGAAAATGTGTCTAATGACCCCGGCTGTCAACCAAGATGAACGACATGGCTAAAAATAAAAGTAAAATGCAAGATTTGCCTATTACATGTATTTCGAAAACCACTATGAATAGAAAAAAAATCAGAATGTTGAGCTCTTATCATTTTTAAAAAAATATAATAGATAGATAGAAACTTTAAAAAGAAAAAAATGATCAGCAATACAAGATCTACAAGTAAGTCAACATGACCAAAATTGTCAGATGACTCCTTATAAGAGTTATTGCCTTTTAATGATGAATTTTACCAATTTTTTGTATCTTAAAAACTATAAAAGATAGAGAAAATCTAAAAACAAAAATGATCAGTAAGACAGGACCTACAAATAAGTCAAACGTAAAAAGAAATCTTCAGTTGACTCCTTTTTAGAGTTATTGCCCTTTAATAACAATTTTTACCAATTTTTTTTTGTATTTGCCTTTTATCTTAAAAACAAGCACACGGAGCCTTCATTTTTTTCTGCTTTTGTAGTTCCTTTATTCATATACTTTCAATTTATAACAGTCTTTTAAATATCTTGTTATTTTGAAACAGAGTAGGGAACATCCTTAAATAATAATTTTTATGTATTTTTTGGAAAAATTATCAGCATAAGAATTAAGATAAGATCTACAAGCATGTCAACATGACTAAATTGTCAGTTAACTCTTAATGGTTATTCCCCTTTTATGATGATTTTTACTCAGAAGTACCTCATTTCATGGATTAGTGATCAAGGTTAAAGTTACATAATTATGGTTCATACTATAAGCAGGAGGTAAACTGATTGGTGTGTGTTATGATTGTAAGGTGTACATGTCAGTAAAGCACATTTCATCTGACCTTGCTCTCATTTTCATGGTTCATTGGTAAATACAAAAAAATGTATTAAGTTTTTGTGTTTTGATCTGTTTTTCATGTACAATAAGCAATATGTTGACTTTGTTTTGTTTGTGGAATGATTTTAAGGTGTACATGTCTGTTTGGCAGGGTTCATCTGATCTTGACCCAGCTGAGTTCTCGAAAAGTGGTTTTTCAAAGTTTTGACCAATAAAATTTGCAAGAGGACCAACACAACTTTTGTCTCACTTTGACGGAGTAAAAAAAAAGACATACAATGTAGGCATGCTGTTTTCTCATCAACAATGTATTAGTTTGTGATGAGGGCAGTTTACGGGGAACCACTAGTGGTAGGTCAATGATATTTGGTATGTAATTTTATTGGCATTAGCACATCTCATTTCCATGGTGATTATTTGGCCTCGCCTACTCGGTCATGGTCTATTGATCACTTTGAAACTTTTGCTTAGCTTACATGTTTTAGTTTGTAATTAGTTCTGTTTATCATTTGTTCATGGGAAACCACTAGTGGTAGGTAAATAATATTTGGTATGCAGTTGTATAAGCATTGGCACATCTCATTTCCATGGAGATTGTTTGGCCCTCTACCTTCAGTCATGGTTCATTGACCGTGAATATTTTGCATAACTCGCATATTAAAGTATTGCTAATCTACTTACTAGTACACTTGGTACAATCAAAAACTTAGTAATAAATTGTTCAAATAAGGCCTTTGACAAAAGTGGAATTAATTGCTTTATGAGTGTCAAAAATTCATTCGGAAGTACTTGATAAATTGCATGCTTATATTGGTAATTAGGGTGCCGCCCTATAGTGATCAGTCTGTTCGTCCGTCTGTCCGTCCGTCCGTTCGTAACAAATTGTGTCCGCTCTATATCTAGAGAACTGTTATAATTTCAAAGTTTATACTTGCCATGTATATAAACCAACACCAGAGGGTGTGTCATAATTTATTTACAACTTCCTAGGTCAAAGGTCAAGTTCAAAAACTTTGGTTTCAGTTGACAACCCCATGTCCAATGGTAAAGATCGTGTCCGCTCTATATCTTGAGAATCGTTATTTCAAAGTTTATACTTGACATGTATATAAACCAACACCAGAGGGTGTGTCATAATTTATGTACAACTTCCTAGGTCAAAGGTCAAGGTCAAAAACTTTGGTTTCAGTTGACAACCCCATGTCCAATGATAAAGATACAAATTTTTTACCACACATTATTCACAGCGGGGCCCACAGAGATGGCTCCCATCTCAATGATATCTAGTTTCGAATCTGTTCAAAATTTTGATTTTTCTACCCTATATAGCACTTTGCCTCATAATCTTATTAAGAAAAAATCCACACACCTAATTAAATGGGCATTTAAAAAGTCAGAATGTGAATATACATTTTCAAACTCTTTTAGGTCATTTTTTAGTAACAACAAACAAAAGGACTATGTCAATCGGACCTGCTTTGATACTATAACTGCCCTTGAATTTTAACTAGACGCTATGAAGATTCCGTATGTCGTCAATTTATCAGAATTCCAATGGGGACTAACTGTGCACCACTTATTGTGGACCTGTTTCTATATTGTTCGGAGTTACAATTTATAACTGAAATCAGCAAAGACCCATCAAAACAACGTCTGATACAAAAATTTAATAACACTTTTAGATATTTGGATGATATATTGGCTCTCAATAATGACGACTTCAGTATGTACACTGAAGAGATTTTTCCTGCTGAACTGACTTTAAATAAAGCTAACACTAATAAGGCTAAAATAAAAAGATTGTATGTTTGCCCAAACGCGACCGACCCAAAAAAATCCCGCCGACTCAAATTCTTTTTTTGCCGATTTTTTGAAGAATTTTTTTTTTTTCGGATCTTTTTCGTGTCCGCTCCGTCATCGTATAAAACTTAATGTTCGTCGTCTTTGCGTTTGAGGGAAAACGGTACTATTACATTTTCCTAGCATTAGGTTGGCCTTTTGTGTACCCAAGGCAGGTGAAGGAAGTCAACTTAGGAGCGCTGTGATTGGATGTAAGGGTACAATATATTTTTTTTATTTATCTATGAATAACTGCAGTGTGTATATTTACAATATAAATTTTGAAACCCATTGAAATATTTTCTAGAGAATTATTCAAAAAGACTTCCAAAATTTCATAAATTTAATGTAAAATGACGGTGGGCATGGATAACATAAACAAGCTCCGTTGGAAGTTGGTCATGATACTATTTGGCTTCAATTTTTAAAACAGAGTAATAAAGTACTAACACCACACATAACTGTTTTGTCCAGGTTTTTATTATAAAAAGGGGTAAATTTAGAAAGCGTTAGTATTGTCGCCTATGGCAGAATAAATAGTACCGTTTTCCCTATACTGAAGATAGCAAGGGAAATCAAAATCAATCAGACTTCAGTTATATTACACTATTTTGAAGCTTTTGATTAATACGTTTGATTTTTATCACCAAGAATAGAAATTTTTCACTGAGACCAATACTGTGTTGAGAAAAGTGCTGAGTCATCATAATAAGTCAAATTGATGGGTACTGATATAAAACTTCATTCTAGGATTTCAATATTAACTATATTGTATAAAATGCACCTAACTCTAGTTCTTTTGTATTTGTTTTCACCTTTCGCAATGATTAATTCAATTGGAAACACCAGAATTCAAGTCGCGACAAATATTTTTAACTGAAATATTTGCCTTTTTTGCTGTGTAATTCCCTAAATGTATCCCTTGGGTATTTCTCAAGACATAATCTATTAAATTGGGAAATTGTCTGGTTAAGTTTGTACTGTTTATGGAGTAAGGCAATATTTGGTCACAACAGAAGCATTTTCAGTATAAAATTTGTCCATCTAAGAAAAAAAGAGGCCCAATTGAGGCTAAATTTAGGTAGATTTTATATTCTCCTGTGTAAAGAATTGATCACATTCTTGGCAATTCATGCAGCAAATGTTTGAATAGTGCTTCATTTTGTAGTTTCTATCTTTTATTATATCAAGCATATATAATTTTTCATTTTCTACTGTTTGAAAAGACTTTTGTTGGAAATGAATACTCCCAAGGGACATAATTCAGCTTTTTCATAGACTGATACAGGCAAGAAAGGCAACTTTACAGCTGAGTATTTTGCATATTTAATGTTATAAGTGTCTAATATCTTTGTTTTTATCATCCCAAGACAGAATAATGGATTTTATAACAAGTTCTGAAATTTTGAACCACAATATGGCATATACTAAAGCATGGAATGGAGATTAGTATGAAAAATCTTGAATTTGTGCTTATGTTGTAAATTTTGGATAAATTGAATACAAATTGAATGGAATTGTCATTTTTATCTGTTTGAATGGTACTGTTTATTATTCTTTTTAAATAAGATAAGATATGATTGGATACAGGTAGTTTATTAAGCCTTATCTGAAAGAAGTACAGAAAGAGGTAAACCAGCATATAGGGGTGGGGACATGAAATGGTCCATGTTTCTTTAGGTAATGGGGACATACAAGAATTTATTATAGCCAAGGTTTTCACAATAACCCAGTATAGCATTAATGGTGTCATAAGAATTCTTTATATCTTTATGTCACAGTATAGGGAAAACGGTACTATTACATTTTCCTAGCATTAGGTTGGCCTTTTGTGTACCCAAGGCAGGTGAAGGAAGTCAACTTAGGAGCGCTGTGATTGGATGTAAGGGTACAATATATTTTTTTTATTTATCTATGAATAACTGCAGTGTGTATATTTACAATATAAATTTTGAAACCCATTGAAATATTTTCTAGAGAATTATTCAAAAAGACTTCCAAAATTTCATAAATTTAATGTAAAATGACGGTGGGCATGGATAACATAAACAAGCTCCGTTGGAAGTTGGTCATGATACTATTTGGCTTCAA